ATTTAACTTATCTTTTAACATAACTAAGGAAATTGTAACTATCTAGTCTTCAACTACATCAAAGGCCTCAGAAGGATATAATACTACCTGAGAACAGGAGAAGGATGCAAGCAACTTTCAGGAGTCTTGCAAGAGTAGACAGAGACAGGTGGCAGCCTGGACAGTCACCTAATGTTTTTCTGTAAAGTTGGGGCATCTGTCTTCAGCCCACAGGCCTAGAGTTTTCAGTCACTTTTCTCTGTGTCCTGTAGAATGTCTGGCAGTTTCCTCTGTGAAGCAGGGACCTGAAGGACCATTTTGCCAAGCAAAGTTCAGTGGTTACCTTCCTATGGGTCCTGCATGTCCAGTCCATCAAACAGTTCAGGCAAGAACAGTTTCTTGCCCTAATGGATATTTTTGCCAAGGTGAAGATAAACTCCATATAGAGTGTCTTTGATTCCATCCTCCTCTATGAAGTAAATTGGTACTGCCAGGAGCAGACATGTCTCACTGTCCCGAATGTCTAAATTTTTAAAATATTTTAAATGCCATATTCTGTAGGTCTTCGAAGTGTTTGAAGATTACCTACCTAATTGAATTATATCTATGTACACCTAGAAAACTTAATATGACTGAAGTTTGAGTATAATAGAAGACTAATATTTTTTAATTATCCATTACAATCTGAATGAGTTACATAAATATAATACCTCAAATAAGAGTAGAAATATATATACAATATAACAAAATTAAGTTTAAACTTGTATCAACAAACTAAAATCCATAATAATGCAAAATATTTCTAAACAAGTTGTTGCTCTTTAAAGTAGGTTCATCAATCTACGTTTTCATCCTATTAAATCTATACTATTCCCTTTTCTTCTTTAGAAAGAGATTGCATTTATAATCAACCTGCTTTAAATAAAAATACTGGTTTTTCTGTGTCCCACACCAGAGGGTTCTTCTGATATGGGCCAGAAGAATCTCTCAATCTTTTTTTTAGCAATATGTTTTGGTTTAGAGATGGAATGAGCCAATTCCATTTCCAAAGCCACCTCGGTATATTTTGGAATTTGGGCATAACTTCTCATACTATTTCCTGCTGGAAGAGGGCACTGTATTCTTATGGGGACACAGAGAAAATTTCAGGATTATAGGGTAGTTCATGAGGCTGTATTGTCTGAGCCAGTTGCCTTGAAACTGTTCTGGATGTTGGATCATCTAGACCATGGTGTCATCAGAGACCTTTCAGGGGGTCCCAGCTAGACACAGAGGAAGCAAGATGTAAAAGTACCGGTAAGCCACAAACCACGTGGCAACTTATAGATTAACAGAAATGGGTTAATTTAAGATATAAGAGCTAGATAGCAAGAAGCCTGCCACAGCCATACAGTTTATAAGTAATATAAGTCTCTGTATGTTTACTTGGGTCTAAGCAGCTACAGGAGCCTGGTGGACACAGGAAAACTCCAGCTATAGACCACAGTCATGCTGTGTCCTAGAAAGCTCAGACTTGATTACAGCCTATCAATGTCCATTATTATAATGACCAAACTTTTCCTCATTTCTGGGAAAGAGTTAAATTTTCACCACTATCTGTTGTAGAATGAGGAGGGTTATACTGATCGCAGTGAACTGAATTCTGTCTAATACATTATGTAAAGGATTAAATAATCTGTTTACTTAAGACAGAATGGGTGGAATCTTGAAACCTCCTGCTTTTCCCATGAAATCCAGGGAAAGTGACTCAGTAGTGTTTGTATATCTATGCACTGGGGACCAGCACTTCCAGTTCTGAAGGAACAGGCATCTCCAGTTTCATCACCTTGGTATTCATGCTAGATTTGAAGTCCTCTAGCAGGAGATGGGAAGAGTGTGTGATCAATAAGAACTGCAACAACAATGGTGGTGATGGATGCTAAAAATGAGTATAATGTCTGGAAAACCTTAGCATTGGTGACACAAACACCAGATTTCACTTCTAACAACCCAGCTACAATTGCTAGGTAGAGTAGTATTAAACACATAAATGTCCAGTGCATTATAGCTGCCTTTAACACTATTTTAGACTTCTTTATTGCTTGCAAATGAACTAATTTTATTCATCATTTCCATTGTTTGAGCAAAAGATAATTAAATAATTAATTTAACATGATACACATGGTATGGTGTTTCATTCCTGCTATCCCAGCATTCAGACATCTAGCACAGAATTGATTGTTTGAGGTATCTAGAGTTAAGGTCCGTATTGACGCATGCTTTTAATCCCAGCACTTGGAAGGCAGAGGCAGATGGACCTCTGAGTTGAAGACCTGCCTGGTCTGCAGAGCCAATTCCAGTTCACCTAGGGTTACACAGAGAAACCCTATCTCAAAATCAAAAAAGAGAGTGGAGGAGAGATGGGGGAGAGAATAGATTGATGAAAAACTGTGATGTAACACAAATGAATACATTTAGTAATTAAAAATCCAACAGGAAAAAAAAGAATGTGATACACTATAATATTCAAAATAAAATAAAAAATAAACATGAATATATGCCATGTCAGTACAGCTGAATGGACCCTGGAGGTTATCTTTACATGTATTTACATATGTGTGTAGCTAAAATTTTCTCCAGTCCTGCCCAGCGCCCCAAAACCCGCAGCCACTTATAAAATAATCACTCAGAAGTTTGTATTAATTAAAACTGCTTGGTTATTAGCCTAGGCTCACTACTGACTAGCTCTTACAATTAAACTCAGCCCATTTCTGTTAATCTATATGTTGCTGTGATTTCTTTGGCTTTACCTGTGTGCCATTACATGCTGCTCCATGGACGGCAGGCTGGTGTCTCTGACTCAGCCTTCCTTTTCCCAGAATTCTCCTTGTCTGTTTATCCAGCCTATACTTCCTGCCTGGCTACTGGCCAATCAGCTTTTTATTTATCAACTAATCAGAGCAACACATTCACAGCATACAGAAAGACATCGTGTGTGTGTGTGTGTGTGTGTGTGTGTGTGTGTGTGTGTGTGTGTGCGTGTAAGCACATATGCTTTACATGTAATGACAACAATGTAGATATAATGAGTTTGGGAAAAAATATGACACTAATTGTCTGGGATAGAAAGAGAAATGCAAATTCAGAGCTCATTTATGTGTATCTCCAAAATTATTAAAATAATATTTATTTTATTGTACTATTGTACTATGCCTAAGGATTTCCTCAGTGAATCCCTCCTCATGCTGCTCAGAATTCTGCCTATGTCCTGAAGGTGTACTGTTTTGTGATCCACAGTTGTGATATAAATATACAATATACAAAGTCTCACAAACATACACAGACACACATACATTGAAAGGAGCAAGGATTTCATCCCCAAGGCAGGTATTAGGAACAGACTCTGTCTGCTGCCCCACACACCAGGGTTACAAAGTTCTCTGTGCTAGCCACAGGATGTTGGAGCAAGTGAAGTAAACACAGATTAAGGTGGATTCCTGCTCTGCAACTTTCAGTTTACAAGGACTTTGGAGCCAGTTAAAAAATGAAGGAAGTTTCTGCTCTTAAACTCTTCCACCAGCAGAGGGTAGCAGGGTAGCATCCAGGAGCAGCCAAGCCTGAGAATGGGGCTGTGCAGGGGAAGTTGAGCCTGTGATGCTAGGCCAAGAAATCTGAAAGTGTCAAGGGATAGTTTTTTACTGCCAGTGAAGACATTCTGAGAATCACATAACAGCATCACTCTAGGACATAGGCAAATCCCACACATAGTGAGAGACTCACAAGGAAATGCTCTGGCTGGGTAGAATTCCAGGTATGAGCCCTGGTGTCTCTATCATGGCTGGAATTCACTGGGAACAGCACTCTGAGTCCAGTGGAAGTTCACTGTAGGAGAACTGACCCCAGGATCAGTTTCTTGCCCAGCATCATGGTGTCCTGTATGTGGTTGACAATTGTCATGGTTGTCAAACCATCAGCTGTCACTTATCTCCCTGATCGTATTTCCAGTAACGCATACTACTGGACTGTTCCCCTCCAATCTATAGGCAGATTTGCCATTAGACTGAAGCACCTGGGCTCGGGTACAGTCTACAGTAGGGAAGGTGGCAACCTGTGTTCTGTCCCTCCATGAAGAACTCAGTGCTCTTTGGAGAAATACTTGAATGAACTGAACACTAACCTGACTCAGAGCACATGTGCTCAGTGTCTGCTTTCTTCCTGATGGAAACACTCACCAAGCACCTTCTGGAGTGCAACCTTGATCCTATGTCTTTGATACACACAAATGCTAAAGTGTGTTTCTTAGAAAGTCTTGTTTCAGGCTATTTTAACAAGATCTTCAAAGTCACTGATGCAGGATTTTTAATTTAATTCCTGAATCCGGATGCTAGTCTATCTAAGAGAATGGAGTCAGATAGGAAGGAGACTCAACATGAGAAATGACTCTGGACTGATGACTCCACAAAAACATTTTCTGATGACTCCACAAAAAAAAAAAAATGGTTGTATAACAAACCAATATCACACAGGTATACACTTGACAATGATTCTCATAGCTATAAAATAGGGCTATATTTTATTGGGATGACAAGAATGAACCACAATTGTAGCTTGTTAACCCAGAAAGAGGGAGGAAAATCAAGGTGACAGGCCACACTACACCTTCTGCGGAGTCACAGATCAGTAGAGGTCTTTCAACAAGACCAAGTGCACAGCATGGACAAGGCAGAGGAAGGTGAACAGTCTCATAAGAACAACTCAGTTAGAAGAGTTAGAAGACTGATCATGGACAAGTGTCTGCAGGGTTACTGTGATCAGAGACCACAGAGGCTTAAGGGGGAATTTCTGAGCCAAGGGACTCTTGAATAAGTCGGGCTCCACCCCTCCTCATCAGTTTCTGCTTCACAACTTTGAAGTATTTTCCCCACATAGGCCTCCATGGGGAGCCCCAGAGAGGGGTAAATTTGCATAGCCACAGAATATCTACTACCCTGAAGATGATTGAAAGAGAATAAAAGCCTGATTAGCCTGGTTGTGCTGCAACTTCCAGGATCCACTACTCTGTGGCATCTCCACCATGGCCTGGCTGTTCCTCCTGCTCCCCTTCCTCTCCCTCTGCACAGGTGACCTACGCAGACTCAGTCTGAAGTTTCTGCCTGCACAGGACACTACTCTCCTACCTTGAACCCTGAGTTCTGTTCTGGTAGAGTGTTTAGTTGACCTTAGAAAGGGCATTGTTCAATATCCTCAGCATCTTTCTCTTTTCTTTTGCAGGTTCCGTGGCCTCCTATATACTGACTCAACCTCCCTCAGTATCAGTGGCCCTAGGTCAAAAGGCCACAATCACCTGCTCTGGAGAAAAACTTTCAGATAATTATGTTCACTGGTACCAGCAGAAACCAGGCCAGGCCCCTGTGCTGGTCATATATAAAGATAATAACCGTCCCTCTGGCATCCCAGACCAATTCTCTGGGTCCAGCTCAGGGAACACAGCCACCCTGACCATCAGCAAAGTCCAGGCTGGAGATGAAGCTGATTATTACTGTCAAAGATGGGATAGCACTGATGATGCTCACAATAACACAGTCAGATGAGGAAGTAACGCACAAACCCCTTTTCTCCTGTGACAGTGGCAACTTGTTTTTCAGTTTAACTCACAGAGTTGCTTCCCTGCCCTTTGCCAAAAACATTGTTTTCTGATTCAAAATGACCAAGCATACATTATTAAGATGTCAACTGCTTAATATCATTCTTTAGACTCTATCAGGAAGAATATGTGGTGACCTTCAGATTCCATCAGAGAAAGGATTTTATTCCTATTCATTTATTTGTTTATTTATTTATTTATTTTTGGTTTCTCTGTATAGTTTTGGTGCCGTCCTGGATCTTGCTCTGTAGACCAGGCAGCAGATTATCATTAGAAATCATTCTTTTGACTGTTTAGACTGTTTAATTCATATATATATATATATATATATATATATATATAATTTAATTAGGGTTAAATATACTTAATTCTAATATATACACACACACATATATACATACATACATATACATACTGTCATACACACACACACACACACACACACACACACACACACACACAATCATGTTTGGTCATGTGTGGTTCTATCTCAGGTCTCTGGTCTATCCAGCCTCTGATTCCTGTTCATAAGACAGTGTCAGGCATGGACTCCCTCCCATGGATGGGCCTCAAATTGGATCAGTCATTGGTCAGACACTTTCACAAATTCAGTGACCTTTACCCCAGCACATCTGGCAGACAGGATAGAGTGTAGGTGAGAGGTTTGTGGCTGTTTTGATGTCCCAGTACTACTTCTGGAAGCCTTGCTTGGTTATAGCAGATGACCAGGTCAGGCTGAGTATCTCCCATTATAGGAAACCTCTAGGGCCACTCTCATAGATTTCAGGTAGTTTGCACTCACTAAGTTTTGAGGCCACATTCATCCTGATGCCCAAACCACATAAAGATTTGACAAAGAAAGGGAATTACAGATCAATTTCCTTCATGAACATAGATGCAAAACTAGTCAATAAGATGAATACTCACAAACCAAATTTTAAAAAAAAACATCAAAAAGATCATCCACCAGGATCAAGTAGCCTTGTCCCAGATATGCAGGATGATTCAACAGGTAAAAATCAGTCAATGTATTCCTCTATATAAACAAACAGAAAGAAAAAAATTATGACCATCTCATTTGTTGTTGAAAAAAAGTTGATGAAATCCATCGCCTTTTCATGGAGATATCAGAACAAAAATAGACACATCTAAACAAAATAAAGATAATTTACAACTAGCCTACAACCAACATCAATTAAATGGAGGGAAAGTTAAAACTGTTAAAGATGAAGTAAGCATGTAAGTCTCTACATACAGTTTAATGGTGGAATACTTGAGTTAAATATGATAGGTCTTATGCTGGATTCACAGAATGTATCCTCTAATAATAATGAAAAATTGAAAATATTTTCAGGACATGAATAAATTTTCTAAGTCAGTGGGCAGTTTTCCAGTTCTCTCTGTCTCTGTCTCTTTCTCTCTCTCTCTCTCTTTCCTCTGTGTGTGTGTGTGTGTGTGTGTGTGTGTGTGTGTGTGTGTGTGTGTCTGTGTCTGTGTCTGTGTGCATGTGTGTATGTTTGTGTGTGTGGTCACTTCTGAGAAGTCATGGTCAAGGTAAAGGACTGAACACAGTACTTGAAGAAGGAATGATCAAAACATTTCTGCCCTTGATAAAATGTAACAAATCAACATGTGAAAAGACAATAAACTGAAGCTGAGAAAAAGTCACAGTAGCAAACGTTAAATGACAGTGATAAAAATAAGTGGTGAATGGAAAATGAGACCCTCCATCATCAGAGCAGAGTTCTTTACTGAAGTAAGAAAACAGTAAGACAGTAGACAAACATTCTTTTAAAATGTAAAGTGAAAAATATCGTGGCAGAAAATAGTTATGTAGTGTAAGTATCTCCCCCCAAATGAAGGTAGAATAAAATTTTCACAGACATTAAATGAATATAGAATATTTATCCCTTGAAAAATGAAAATTAAGGCACAGAGGACAGCTATGGCTCTGCCACAGACTCTCTCCCTGGGGGACAGAGACCAACAACCAGCCTCCTGGAGCCACCAGGCCCAGGCACACAGCACAGCTACAGTTCAACTCCAGAACACTCACCTGGGGAAGACAGAGAGCAATCTTGAATCGGTGTCACCTAGCAGCCTAGCATCATTATGGTGAGTGAGGATATGGTGGAGAAATGGAAGAAAGAGACAGAAAGGTTTATATGCTGGGGAGAGAGGCATATCTGAACAGTCTAGGGCAATGAGAAACTTGCTGGCCTGTTGGATGCGACCTTGGTGATTCTTGGAACTGGGCTCCTGCAGAGGGCCGTGTCTGGTTCCATAGACCCTATGCAGCTGTGGTAGTCGGTGTTGATGTCTGAGGCTGCTGTTACCACTAATGGCCTTGTGGATGCCATGAGTCTGGACTACCACCTATGACCATGTTGTGGTCCGAGGGATGTGCCCCCAAAGAGGCCATGCCATTCAAAGAGGCCTGCACTGCCACCTGGTCCATGGTGACATCTGTGCCTGGACTACTGCTGAGGGCTATGTCGGGATCCACATCCCTGAAGCAGTCAGACTTTGTGTTAATGACAATGGCTGCTGTTGGAACAGAGGGCAGTGCAGAGTCCCATAGTCTGAGCTTACACCTGAGGCCATGTTGTTGTTTGAGGATTTTGCAGCCATTAAGCCAAAGAGATCTGGGTGGCATGCCCTGCCACTTTGGGCCATTGGTAACATCCAGACCCAAACTGTGGCCAAGGGCCATGTCTAGGTCTGTGGCGCTACAAAGGCCAGGGTCTGTGTTTGTGTTTGTGGCTACTGTTATCATCAAAGGTTGAACAGGCTGCTCCCTGGGGACATGTGGGCACTTGAATGCCATACTACCCCTTGAATCCATGCTGATCTGTATGACCTGCCATGCCAGCTAGTGCCATGATGACATCCCTGCCCAGGTTGCTGCCAGGGACCATGTCTGTGTCTGTGTCTGTGGTCCTACTGCAACCTGGGACTGTGTTGATGTCCATGACCTGTGTTGCATCCAATGGTCACACAGATGTCCAGGATCCAGTAAGGCCTACCTGTCGATTCTTTGTAATTTAGATACTGCCGCTCTGTGCTTCCAGGCTGAAAGAGCTCATAGTTTTAGCTACCCTGAAATATTTATATCAGAAAGAGCCTTTTCTTCCTCTATTACTACTGGGAAGAGGCTTTTTTTGTTCCTTTATTTTTTTTTTACAGAGCCTTAAAATCTTCAAGCCTAGTTTTAATATTTTCCCCTTTTTACTGGGAAAAGCCTTTTTTCTTGATTAAAAATGTTTCCTCTTTCTACTGGGAAATTTCCTTTCCTTCCCTCTTTTCTATTGGGAAGATTTTTTTTTATTTTCTTTCTTTCCCTTTTCTCTATTGAGAAAGGTGTTTTTTTTATTATCTTTTGTCTCAGGATCCATTCTTTTAATGTTTAAAAATTGTGCATTTACCACTTTTTAGTTTGACAAGTATTTAGCAAAACTGTACATTTTGTTGTTCCTGTGATGGGGAGTTAAAATTCCCCATGACTTTGCCGATCCTGGAGTGCTCTTACCCTAAGAGAGCTCCCTCCAGTTCCTAAGATGACTGGCTCCTCTGTTCTTTTTCTGTGGATCTTTTTCTTTCTTTCAGCCCCTCATTGTGCACTAAATGTAGCTGTGTGGTCGCTACACGACTGTGTGGGTTCACGAGGATCTGTGGAATGAAGACACAGAAGCATCTTAAGAATGAATTTAGCCTATCATGGCTGCAGGGGAGTCCAGCCTGGTAGGACTGAAGCCTCTTTCCTTTGCCTAGGGCATATTTATTTACTCCTTTTTATAGTTTAGATAGTTAATTTCCATACCTTCAAAGCAACACAAAAGGAGCTGCCAGAGACCAAATGTCAGGTGCAAATTACTTGATTTATCAGTGCTGTGGATATCGCTCTATATAAATAAAGCACTGATTGGCCAGTGACCAGGCAGGAAGTATAGTCGGGACAAGGAGAGAGGAGAATTGAGGAAGGAGGAAGGAAAGGGAGACCAGCTGGAGCCACCGCCAGGACAAGGAAGATGTAAAGTACCGGTAAGCCACGATCCACGTGGCAAAGTAAAGATTAATAGAAATGGGCTGAATATAAGAGTGAGAGCTAGACAATGATAGGCCTGAGCTAATGGCCAAGCAGTTTAAATAATGTAAGAGTCTGTGTGTTTGTTTTATAAGTGGACTCCGGGACTGGCGGGACTTGGTGGTGGGAGCTGGAAAAAAATTCTCTAGCTACAAATGGAGCCCAACGGCTCGAGTTTCCACCTTAAACCTAACAATATTTAAATAACCAATTCTAAACAGAGCCAAAAACAGGTTCCTGCTTCATGTCTCATATGGGCAGCTAGACGCCGCAAAACACTGGTTTGAGCTACTGGTGGGTTCCTGGCATGTGCACTTGATCTGCAGTATGGTGGGAATGAGAAGTGTGCCAGCAGCACATTACGCTGTCTGGTAGATTTAGTCTTTACTAGTATTTAAAAAGAGAGAGAGAGAGAGAGAAAGGTTTCTGGGCTACACACTGCTTTGATAAAAGCGTAGACCCACTATTTCTGAGACTTGATGGCTCCCAGAGCTGTCAGAACCGCCTTGTTGGGAAGCTAAAGTGGGCGGAGCCAGCAGCCACAGTGCCGTTTCAGGCTTAGAAGGCTGCAGTTTAAAGCAACAGGTTCACAATAAGACTGATTCAGATGAAATAGTTTCCAATGTATGTAAAAATGTACGTAGGCTTCAAAAAGAGATAAAAAGAATATATACAGTTATATAAACAAAGAGTTTTTAAAAGTAAAGTCTTTACAGAAACAATAAAGGTAATAAGGCACGTAAAGATGGCTATCACACAGAGAATCTGGATTATGTTGTCTTTGATATTTGTAACTGAAGAAAAACATTTGATTGTAAAAGCTGTTCAGTTATTCCAAAATGTAAATTTTAAAGGTACCTTGA